ATGTGTTGTATTCACAGCGATCAAACTATAACTGAAAAATAAGTTCAATAATTTAACAAGTTATATTCCCTATGAATTGTGTTAGGCCAGATATTATGAAAACACTAAAATATTAGCCAGAAACTTGATATGTTTACTAGCCCCCTTCGATACTAGCTTGTTACTGTTTGTTAATATACTATTTAGATGAAATACATTAATGAAAATACATTACCTATAGACACGAAAATGCTTATTCGTGTTTGCAGACTCAGCTGAAAAATATTTTTTTTTGTATATTTTTATAAATTATTTAAACCGAGTCTATCGTTTAGGGCGGTATAAGCACTGAACTCAATGAATTGTGCTTATGAAAGTGTCCACTAATAGGAGGCTGCCATTTTGTGAACAGTTATTGTTATGTCTATGATGTTATCATCACCTAACCTAACATTTCTATGGCTTATCAAATCAGGTGATGGCTATATGATAATATATTTGAAGTGCTATAGGTTGTCATACAGTGTTACCATATTACTAATAATTTACTATTGTATACAGATTATAATGGTTTAATTTGTTACGGTTTAATATGGTCGTACCTAATCAGTAAATAACATTACATATTAAATAATTCTTTACACGTCATACTATGCTGCCATCTAGTTTATTGTATTCAAACTAAAGGTTGCAGGATTGCCGCCGTTAAATTATAGTTGATATTCATACCAAAGTATATGCTATTATTGGCAACGGCCTCTCCTTAGATATTTTTTACTCTACGTATCGAATACACGAAGGTGTTACCATCGCCTAACCTAACATTTTAAATTTGTGTCATGGAAAAGGAACGTAGCGTTTTTGCTTTCCATGAAATTGGTACACAAAATGGCTGCCTCCCGGGGCATTTTACAATCTGAACGCGCGTTAAGTGCGGTTTGAGATTAGAAACTATAACATTATAGTCTTATTGTAACAGCTACTTATACACAAAATATCTCCGCGTTATATTTTTATTTGGCGCTTATTTCTTTATTTTCTCGCCTTATATTCGCTCTCACGCCGTAGGTACCCTTTGCCCGGCCTCCTCCGCACATCCGGACCGTATCTCGAAAAATAATAATATATCCGTTATGCCACGCGTTTCCAGCCACCTGGCTCGTTAATCTTCCCAACTACAACACGCGATTACACATACAGCACCCGCTATATAATCTGCACCCTGTACGCCTCTCCTCGTCAGTATACGGCCAGACATATACCTACACGCGTGTAGCTTTATTTCTCCCCTTTTATATATATATAGATGTTTGTGAGTGTGTGCATTTCCTACCCTGGGCCGAAGCTTTTTGTCCAACGAAGCCCTATTGTTTTACGAGAGCACGTACATTGTTGCCCGAAAAACCTTATCTGAAACAACACTGGCCACCATTTACACGGAGAAAAACGCGTTAGTTTGGACTTGGTGCGAAGAGGCTACTGTTGTACCTCTCGAATACGGAATGAAGTGAGGGATACAAGAGGTTTTACGAGCACCTCCATGGAAGGGTGTGTACAATATAATATAGGCGTCTTTTAAAATAGATTGCGTTTCACACTGTGCGTGTCGCTTGATATCCACCGGAATACGTGTCTTGGTGTTGATGTACCTACCTGTGTTAATATAATATATGTCACTAATATTATACATATTGCATTGTTCTTAAAAATTAGCCAACGAGTAATTGATGTTATAATATTATTCAGTTGGGTTTCCTACAATGTGGACAACAACATGTAACACTTATGTTTATCCAACTGACTGCGCCATGTTTATTTGTATAGATTACCCACAGGTTTTATTTATATTACACCACCTCTTAAAACTATCATATTATCATAGATTATATAAAGACAGATGGTGCACTCCATAAATTGGTATTGATTGGTGTAAACTCAATGCAGTAGAGCCCAATTACAGTGCCGAAAATATTGTACACACTATTTAAAATAATAACGTTAACTGATATGAATTACTGATAACAAGTAGTTGTTTAACGAAAATTGATTGGTGATAACATTACAGATGCTTGGTACAATTTCTTTAATCCCGTTGTAGAACAGAAGGATTATTTGTTTCATTTTTTGTTCACAATGATTTGAGATTATTAAATTTTGTTCTCAGAGTGTACTATCTGGTTTTATTTAATAATCTTAGGGAATCTTAATTCTTAGTGTTCATTATCATAAAACGATCAGACATATTGAGAAATAGCCTACAGTGATGCCATAACGCAGATATTTAGTTTTTCTTAGTTTTTATCTACAAAATCTAAGTAACCTAAATAGGCAATGTGATTTTTATCTTCCTTATGGAACATAATGAAGAGTTTAAAGAGGGGGTGTAGGGTTTGTATAGCTCTCCCCTTTGGCCTTAAAAACAAAATTACTGACCTAAACTTAGCACAGACTGCTGGAAGTAACTGCTCAAAACTTTTCTTTTCTTTATCTACCATATCTGTTTTTCCGGTCACTTGAAGTCGGTCATTGTGGTCAAATTCAACAATAACACAGTAATAGATAAGTTTATGTTTTTTATCAATATGGGGATCGTTTTATTAACGGTTTGTATGTATAAAGCAAGTAAACAACTGGCGATGTCCGGTTAGTTTCTTATTTTAACTTATATCTATACCGAATACCCTTCAGGAAAATTGGCTGTATAGAAACGAATTTGGCTAACGATACTATAATATAAAATATAAGAAAACAATTGAATGTGGCTAATTGGAATTGATATTACAACGTTCAAAACAAACAGAAAATGACCCATACGAGTTACAAAACAAGACCGTCATTGAAATTTGAACTTTATGGACAAACACAATAAAGGCAAATACGCGACGTCATCTTGAAACAATATTAAATGTTTGTTCTGATTGTGTTTTCTTGTAAAGTAATCCACTTATATTGGTATTACGGAAAGTTTCTCTCTCCCCTCCCACCCCCTCCCGCCCCTAACAGTTCAGATCCCTTCATGATACATACAATACTTTAATTTAACTTATAATCCTTGTAATAAAAACTCAACGATTCGGCGGGTACACTTAGGCCTTTTTTAACAATTCAATTTTTAAAATGGTTTTGACTCGAGAAAAAGATACAAACACTGTTTCAATACCGAAAAATCGAATTATAAAAATAGTATTCGACTAAATTACAATGTTGTTGCGTATTATGCCACTATTAAAAAAAAATAACTTTGCGGAGGTCATTAATAATATTTTTTTTTATTCCGCTTCGTTAAAAAAAAAATCTATTTATAGCACAAGCGTTCGCAAACATATTATACTCGGTTATTATTTATTATTCTACTAGGTAATTATGACCGACAAAGCCCTTAAGCGCTTTTCATTTCATCACAGATACAAAACACTTAATTCGCAATTCCGTTTAAACGTTTATTCTAAAACTAGAATTCCATACAATGTAATTTTTTATTTTTCGCACATATTCAAATGGGTTTGCTATATAATGTTATACATTACACGAATATTATATACGCAACACTTGGTTCTCTCACAACAAATCATACTGCTGGCCGTAAGCAGAAATTTAATAATTCAAGTAGTAGGTTGACATTAATTACGGTTTTGCGGTACTTAAGGGGCTTAGGAGAACCTTAATATTAGGTATAGAATCGCACTAGCCGACCAGCGGGTGTGAACGTAAAAACCAAGTAGCTGTTTGAACAATTTCAAAAAACAAAAAGGTCATAAAATTTGAGCTGCCGTAAAAATAAATTGGCATCTCGTCAAAATAGTGTTTTTTTGGAAAAGAAAAAAATATACACTGCTAGGCATGACATGATATATTCTATTCTCGGCACGACGTCATAGTATTAAGTTGTCCGCGTCCCCTCGGCTCGCTTCACTGTATAATAATATTGTCATGTTATAGTAAATTTATTCCACGTCATAACACACCGTGTACATTATGTACACCTATTTAATGTGTGGATTTGCACCGTCAGAAAGTGCTATGGCCACGATAAACAACTTATATATTATACCGGGGGGGGGGGAGGGGACCGTGGGGTCTTATATATCGACTACGACGGGCACTGAACTTATTGGAAGTTTGTTCCAACCGTACGAGCTTAGCCGACAGAAACTTCCATAAGCTCGGCCGGCGAGGGGGTTTCACCGATCCATTTCGGTTGTTCGGTTTGTCTGCATGCGTTTGTCCGATAAGGTACACACGGCGATGGAGGTACAATGATAACAACTCGGCCAAGTTGGTTTTGACGGATTTCGGTCAACTCGAGTGTTTAACATTCAGCCACAGCAAATCCCTCAAATTCCCCCCCCTCCCGTCTAATCTTCAGCTGGCACTGCTGTTACTTTAAGATGCTGTGCTTGTGGGGTTTAGCGTTAAGTAAGGTTTTTAGAATAAAATACATTCACGTTTGTCTGCGGTTTACAAAAAGTAGTCGTTTAACTCTATTATGGAGACACCATCGACTTACAATCGCAAACCGTTGCTGGCACAAATGCTACATTAATAATGTCTAAACTCCCATAATTGTTATTAGGGTGCAACCCTTTGAGAATTTTTAATGTATTTGTTAAGCAAGCATATATATGTTTTTTTTAAATTGTCGATTAAATATCGGTTGGATTTATATGAAATGATTTAATTAACGATTCGCTCTTCGATTGAAAATTATGTAAATTTCAATTAAAGCCAATAATTTTTTTATTCGTAAATCTACATTATATTTTTTACAGTTATGGATATTGTATGCATACTAAATGCTATCTATAATCGACCCTGTATTATTTGTGATTACCGAGTTTATTGTTATGTGTATATTTCATTAATTAATACTATTTTGTACGATGGCTACAATATTATTACCGAAATTAATCCACTAGAAATTAAAAGAAGAATTGTAAAAACTATTCTGTTTACAAGTCTACTTTTAAAGTCTTGTTGATTTACTGGAAGACAATAAATGTACATTTTTTGTTTGTTTCTAGTTGGCAGTTCTGAAGATGTCAAATCGACGGAACTTAACAAGTTGAACATGTCTAGACGGTGTCCAAAACCGGTGGTCAAAGCTATGTCTCCCAACAGACAGGGTCCCCAGCAGTGTCTTGTAAGTATTCTTAATGGTTTTTTTTTTTCAAATTAATCTACTCTTTTGTGCGCTGACATTTCTCGTAAACCCTTACGTTGTTATTATGAAAAACTATATATTTAGCGCGTTGAAAAACTAAACAATAGTATACATTAGTATGATTCTCAAAATGAAGCCCGGCTTTTATTATCATTATTTGCTAGCCAAAAGGTACTCGACCGAGTACTCGTCATACCGCGGTTGGTTATGTAAAGTGTTATTAACAACAATATTCTTCTCTTGTTCCTCTGAAAAGTTTGCAAACAATGGGGTTGTTTTCGACTTAAGCAAATGGTATTTAAGTACACCGCAAACACATAGATCAGATACCTGATTACACTGCTATTTATTATACATCATCCTAATAGGAGGAAATATGATAAAACAAAAATTACATCCATAAAAATGTTTATGTTTTATTATATTGCGGTTTTTTACAATAAAATTATTATTCTCGAATCGTTAAACTTACTCAACGCAGTTCCATGAACGATAAAGGAACCGAGACTTTGCAAATAAGTTTAACTATTAAGATTTGCGCAAATATAATTAAAACGTTAAAAATTAATGGCAAACACAGACTAATACTCGACACGAAGAGTAGATAAATCTAAATTAAAGAAACGCCAAACAAATGCGGCTTGTAAATAAATTCAAATTAAATACAAACACAAAGCTACATGTATATATGTACATTGATGTAGCCTTGTGAACTTTCAAGGTTAGACTCTGTATATTTTTTATTTGTTCCTGGGAAGAATAACTCGGCTTAAAAAGAAATGTGTTTTAAACTTTTTTTTGTTAGTGTGTAAAATGATTGTACTATTCAAAAATTGATTTATGACTATTTTTTTTTATTTAACGAGAAATATTTGTGAATTTATTTAATCCTGTTTTATGCCCGAGGTCCGGTTTTTCAGTACTTTATTCGTCTGGTGGATAACTACCTACACAATTTAACTTTAAATGGGTACTTTAACCTCTAGATATTTTATTTGCAGCCTTTCACATCTCATCCGACGGTTACATAGCTGCTGCGTTTAGTTGTAAACGGTAAATTAAATTGTATTAAACGGACCTTGTCGATTGTGTGGTACAGACTTTGTCAATTGTAATTGGATGTGAAAATTGGTGTTAAAACTATTGAAAAATGTTCAAAAATTTAAAGTATTTTACTAACAGCACTACAAAATTAAAGTACCTTAATTAAATGTTAACATTTCTTTCATTTCCACACAAAATACATCCCTGTAAATATTATACACCGCTAGTAGTTCAATAAAAGTAGTTTGATGTTTTATCAAAGTACCTAATTAGATCTAAGCACAATATAATATTGTGACTGTTGGAAGATACTTAAAAAACGTTTACTGTTATCACTATTATGATATTCTTTTCTTATGCTAAAATACTACTGAAAAACCGAGGCTTGACAAAATGAATGGCTAACAGTAAATATAGTTAAAAACCACTAACAATTTTCGATAATAATATTATTCTACTAAAAGACCACTGTGAGAGCTTGTTGAAGCAATCAATGAAGGGCACTTAAGAATGGGCGGAGATTTGGGATAAGGGGGGGGGCTTCTGATTCTAAAAACCTTAAAACTTAAAACTAATACTAAATTTACTTTTATTTCAACAAATTTCTCGCTAAAAATGAAATGTAGGTATAATGAAATGGGCTAATTTTAAGTTTTACGGTTTTTTATAGTCCAAACCTTCCCAAATATTTGCCCTTGCACTTAAGCAAGGATGAAAATGATGATCACTCCGTATAATTGCCACAAGTTGTTTGTACAGGGTTCTTATTTTTAATATTGCTGTTGCATTAACCTGTATATTATAGTTTAATGCTAAACGCAAATATTTGAGTTCTAATAATTTCATATTTATATACATTTAAAATGTATTTTTTTTTTTTTAATGAGAACAAATTTAGTTCCTTATGAAATGGTTAAAATAGGAACACAACCGATTTCTAGTTGGAATAACTAAATAAATAGTTGGCTCAACTAAACATTCATCTGACCGAACTAACATGTATAGTTGCTTTAACTATACATTTTGTTTGCCCGACTATTTATTTAGTTATTTCTAACTAAAATATCAATATATTAACCATAGTTTTAGTTGGACCGATTATGTATTTTTTTACAATGTAATAGTTTGACAACACCTTTAAACTATGTGGTACATATCTCGAAAAAAATCGATTAAACAATTGTTGTAACAATCTGGTAAATATTTTAATGTAGATAATATTTTTTTGCCATTTTAAAGAATATACAGGGTTTCCCATTTTAAAATACTAATCCAATCAAAAAGTTGTTTATTAAACGATTTTTTAGAGTACGAGGGAGGACGTTAAGAAAACAAAAAATATGGTCCAAAATTCAAAATGGCTGACTTACGGTCAAAATCGGTTATTTTTTTTTAAATGGAAACCGTGTACTTTTTGTTTGCCAAACAAATGTTCTTATCAAAACTAACAACTTTTGTAGGAACATTTTTCCGGTAAAACCCATCATTTGTGAGTTGAGTCTCTTGAGCTATTTTTAGTTTTGTTATTTTATTTTGACGCATATGGTAACCGTGTCATGTGTGGTAACCTTGGTTTGTTTGGTAACCATGGTATTTTTAGTAACCTTGGTATGTGTATTAAGAGGATTTAGAGTCTTTAAACCATGGTTACCACACATACCAACGTTATTAAAATTACCATGGTTACCACACATACCAAGGTTACTACACATGACACGGTTAACATATACATCAAAATAAAATAAGAAAACTAAAAATAGCTTGAGAGACAACTCACAAATTATGGGTTTTACCGAAAAAATTGGCCAACAAAAGTTGTTAGTTTTGATAAGAACATTTGTTTGGTGAACAAAAAATACACAGTTTCAATTTTAAAAAAAAAAAAACATGTTTTTGACCGTAAGTCAGCCATTTTGAATTTTTGAACAATATATTTTTTTTCTTACGTACCCTTCTTTTGTACTCTAAAAAAAGTCTCTAAAAAACAACTTTTTGATTGGATCAGTGTTTTTGGAGAAAAATCGATTAGAAATTTTGAATGGGACACCCTGTATAGTATTTCCGGCCTTACCCATGTGTGTTTGCGCGATAAAATGCCTTTTGTAATATTTGTATAGTTTAAACGTATTACTAAATTTGAATTGAACGGCTTGCGTTTTTCAGAATACCAAGTGGATCAGTTCGTCAGGGAATCGTCTGCGATACGCGCCGCCTTTACTTCGGGTAATAGGTCATTGACCCCATACAACTTTTAACCAGTTTATATAAGTCTTATAATAATAATTACCCGATAATTGCTATTGTTGTTCAAACGGACATAAAGTAGTTTAAAAAATTGCTTTTAAAAAACCATCTCGACATACTTTTTTCGTTATACGAACGGTGTCCAGTCGGTTGACACGACCGAACAAAAGTAGAATAAAATAAGATGTTCAAATCGTAAATAACCGATTTAAACAACACAATTTTTTTGTAGGTCGACATAAAAAAAGATATATCTCATTGTCAGTAAATCATAGCAGTTCTCAAAATAATCACACATGTCGACCAAAGACAAGCATGATAATTATATCAGAAAACGGTGCACACAGTTTTACTACACAACACAGTTGAGCAACTAATATTAGGGTAGACTGAAGAAACCTAGCCAAATGTTTTTGAATAGAACAGAATAGAATAGAAGATTTAAACTCTAATTGCGGAAACCAAGAGCGCTACTACTTTTGGCATTTTTTATATTTTTGAAAGCCCGACGTCGAGATTTACCATTGAAACATTATCGAACGGCCGAAAACATAGTCTAGAACTTTTTATTTTTTTTACACATTAATGTTAATGGTGACCTATTTTCGGTAAACGATGCTTTTTATGTCCTGTCGTTTCTCTTTCAATAGGCGTGCCAATAGTAAAGGTTAGGTGTACGTGTACTTTTACCCGTTGAGAACATTTTGGGTACTTATTTATTTTCCTTTTTAATTTCGTGCCGACGTCCAGACGCAGATACAATACGGTTGTTGGCAACAAAAAAAATAAAAGAAACAATAAAGACCAACTCAAGACGTGCGAGCATCCATTGCTGCGAGCACAAGACGTTTTAGGAGATGGTATCTTTCGGTCAGTGCATTGTTTAATCCCAAGCTTTAAATCTATTTTTTTTTTCTTCTGCTCTATCAGTTTTATTTTCCTCGGTAAATGTTAATAAAGATAGATGACACCTACTAATTTAGTTTTATTTACCAAAAGTCTAATTAAAAATGTAGTATGAAAATTTTTTTTTTTAACAAACATTAAAACCAAGGATTAAAAACGTTACAAGGTTGTATTTTTCCTGAACGTTACTGGATGTTCCACCCGGAAACGGAAAAATGTAATTAATTTCACTTCCGTTAGGTTTGACTAAACGTTATGAAACGTTTTCATCGAGAAAGTAGGCTAGTGACAGAGTTGGGCATTTTTTAAGTTAAAAGATGAACCTACTTGTATTCAGCCATGGCATAAAGTGAACCTAGGAAATTATTTTTGTACAATTTAACAATATTATCTGTGGTTTAGTTTAACTTAAACACTTAAAAAGGACCGAAGTCTACGCGTTTATAATAGTTATTTGGCGTTAGCCTAATTTCTCAATAAATAATAGCATTTAAACTGAAAAAAAACTGCCTAGAACATGTTTTTGTAACATAACAATTGTTGTTTAAAAAACTAATAGAGATAACAGATTTATAAATAAGACACTTATATTGAGCCCCCCCCCCTTAAAACTACTTGATTAATGAAATTAATTACATATGATCCTAAGCAATCCAGGATTACAAAAATAAATATTAGCTTTAGGGCTCAAGTAAAATTACTCGTATTCCAAGTGTGGTTAAAATGTTAAATATTTATTATAAAATATAAAAAAAAATACTAACTATGATTGGGGATAACTATAG